TTATTTCCGTCTGATATTGATCTCGTCTCTGCCTGCCCCTCTAAACTGCATTTCTGTCAACCTGTACATACATAGGGGAACCCCGGAGGAGACGATTTTGGTGCCACCGGTGGCGAACTATTAACGCGATGTAAATTGAGATACTGATACTTTTAATTGTTAATATGTTTTAACTGTTGATTTTATGTTAGATATATATTGATGTAACCTGCCCTGAGCCTGTTTCTGGGGGAGGGGGGGCGGCCCAGAAGCCAAATGAAGTAAAATGAAAGAAATGGTCTGGCAGCCAGAAGTTCTAGCTCTTTTAGTGTTGTGCCCCAGTAGGTGGCGAGCTAGACTTTGTTTTTTTTAGGGCAAGCGATGTTTCAGAGATGGTTTGCCATGGCCTGCCTTTGCGTCACGACCCTGGTATTCCTTGGAGGTCACCCATCCAAATACTAGCCAAGGCTGACCCTGCTTAGCTTCCGAGATCTGAGGAGACTGGACTAGCCAGGGGTCATTTCGTAGAAAAAGAGCTAGGGGAACTCATTAGCATAACTCATTAGCATATGCCACACACCCTGACATCAGGGGCCCGGCGGTGGACCTGCAAGGCCGGCGGGAGTGCGAGGAAGCCCCGTGAAGGCCCTCCCTGGCCCCAGGCAGGGGTGGGGAGAGGCGGGCAGGAAGCAATTTACCCTCCCTCTCCTCCTGCCTCCTCCTGGCTGAATGAGGGCTGGAAGCGGGGCGGCTGGAAGCAGGGGGCGGGGCTTCATCGTGTGCCCCACACCTCACCCGGGGGAACTGCGATCCCCCGCGTCCCCCCCCCCGAAATGACCTCTGGTTAGAACTATGATAAGTAATTCCATTTCACCTTCTGACGAAGTAATAAAAGGTAATAAATATGTTAGAACCAGGGGTCATTTCGTAGAAAAAGAGCTAGGGGGACTCATTAGCATAACTCATTAGCATATGCCACACCCCCTGACATCACCGGAAGTGTGTCCTCCCCACAGCCGGCAGCGACCTCCAGCGGGCACCAGCAGGGAGCTCCAGGCCCCGCCCTCCCGCACCTCACCCGGGGGGATGGCGTCCCCCCGCGTCCCCCCCCCAAATGACCCCTGGGACTAGCCATGCCTATCTCAGTCACTGCAGCCACCGAAACCATTAAACAAACATTCCAGTCTTGACCCACTAGGAAATGTGATTTCAGATGCTTTCTAAATGCCCTAGCACACCGCGAAATCAGATTATACAAAATGTACATCTAATCAAGAAAAATGCGGCGGCTGGTTTAGTAGCTACATTAAGCTAGTTAACGCTTGTAAGAGGTAGTGAGTTCCCAGGTTAAGCTAGTCACAGCTACAGTGAGATACAAATCTGAAGTTCCAACTCAAGGTACAATATATGGATTGTGTTTGTATTTATGCTTTGTTATGGCCAATGGCTAATACAATAAACTTGATGATGATGATGAACTCAAGGTACAACAGGTAGTGTGGAATCTCTGAATATATCCCAATTGAGCTATTTCACGCTGACATCCCCCTTTGAAGTTCTTGCCTGGAAGGGTGGCGACTTGCAGATCAGAAAGGGTGTCCTGGTAGATTGAAACATTTCCCCACCATTTTCTTAATACTGTGATTTTTGTTTGTTTGTTTGAATGGCAGATTTGCATCCATTTTTATCCAGGATTCATTTGCACTTGGAGCGGCATCAGGCTATTTCTCGGACGCAGCCCGAGCTGGTTTATGTCTTTGCTACAGCAGACCAACCCAGCTAACCATCTGGAACTGTGTGGTGCCCAAAGCTATGAACACAAGTCTTGTATGAATCCCAACCAGTGACATCTTTCAGATTTGGCTCATTCACGGGCATCCTACACCGACAAAAGGTTGGATTCAGGGGTAGATTTCTGCTAAGGCAAAGGGGGCGATTCTCATTCACTTTCCCTTTTCACGGCAGACCTCCGGCTTGACCCATACGTTGTTGCAGGGGATCTCCCTGCCCCCAAAGCAGTGGCTACCATCAGTGGGGGGAGGGGAGGGAGAATTCTGGACAACAGTGAGCTGTGAGAAGTCTATGCTGAATCCAACTCACACATTCCCCGTTCTCAGATTACATCAGTATTATCTGTTGTAGCAGACAGATCTTGAGTGCTTTCAAACACACTAAATAATGCACTTTCAATCCCAAGTTTACAACTGGATTTTACTGTGTGAAATGGCAAAATCCACTTGCAAACAGTCACTGAAGTGGACTGAAACTGCATTATACAGCAAGTGTGAAAGCGCTTTGTGGGCCTGGATTTGTTACTTTTTTCCTCCCAGTGTAATGAACCCGAGTCAGGTTCTAGAACCAGGTTCTAAGAAGATAACTTTGCTTCAGAACTGTGTGGTTTGGATTCTGGCTGACTTAGAATGCTCCCTTTGCTGATTACTAACACCTGCAGAGCAGTTTACGTTTGCTGAGATTCGACTTTGGGAGACGGTATTGTCTTCCCTAGGTCTCTCTCTCTCTCTCGCTCTCATCACAGCTGAAATTAACTGTTTGGTTCTGATTGGCAGCTGAGTTGCCGAGTAAGGCATTGCCTGCTAGAAAAGATAGCTTTTTAATGCACATAGATCATTCATCTCTTTATTCTTTCACCCTGGCATGCCCCCATGCTACACCAGTTGAGCACGGAGAGCCCCCATGTTTTGTAGGATGGGCGAGATGGATGACTAAACAATGCCATTCTGGGATGCTTGAAGATAAAGGTAAAGGTTCCCTTGCTCGAAAGCCAGTCGAATCCGACTCTAGGGTTGCGGTGCTCATCTCCGTTTCAAAGCCGAAGAGCTAGCGCTGTCCAAAGACATTTCCATGGTCATGTGGCCAGCATGACTGAACACCAAGGCGCACAGAATGCTGTTACCTTCCCACCAAAGTGGTACCTATTTATCTACTTGCAATGTCTTGCTTTCGAACTGCTAGGCTGGCAGAAGCTGGAACTAGAGACGGGAGCTCATTCCGTCATGCGACACTCAGGTCTCAAACTGCTGAACTACCGACCTTCCACAGCCTGCAGCTCAACGTCTTAACCACTTGAGCCACCGCAGCTCCTTGCTTGAAGATAGTAAGTTCTAAAATCTTAGATAGGCAGATTTTTAGATAGCCACAGCAAAGTTTTGTCTATTGCCTGTATTTGAGTGATTTATGCTGTGCAACACTCCAGCTAATTAACTTGATTTACATTTAAGCTGAGTCTGGAAGCACTGACTTGAATGTGGGCGGACCTCAGAATGAACCCGGTGGGTGGGAAGCGGGGACCTTGGAAGGTAAAAGCAAAAAGGGGAGTATGTTCTGCCTTACTGATTGCTGGAGCGGCTGTCCTCAGTGCCCAGAGTAGGAGGCTTTGGGAGACTTGTCCTTATACCCAGGATGATCTATATCGCTGTTTACAAGTGAATCCCTTTGGTGCTATAATGATTTAGGTATAGATGATAAGGTAGAAATATCCAGGTAGTTGGAAAGCAGAATCATGGTCAATGGGCTATGTAATGATTCCTTGTTTTATGTGTGTGTGTGTGTCTCTTTAAAAGTTTGGTTGCCTGGCGGTGGTAAGTAGACTAGAGTGGTTGAGAGAAGCAAGCGTGGTATGATTGGTGGTTGACAGAGAGGGGGAGGGGTTTTGGAAGTGAGAATGAGCGGATATGTATGTCAGTTAGGTTTTACAGTTACAGGTTTGACAGTTGATAAGTTCAGTTAGTTTTGGGTATGAAGGAAGTTAGAAGAGGTCCTGTATGGTATAAGTTAGTTCAGTGAGAAACAGAAGGAAGACTGAGAGAATAGGAAAAAGTAAATTAATGTTTAATTGAAGACAAGTTATAAGAAAGGCTGTATGTCCTGATAAACTGGAGAGAAACAGTGAAAATATATGACCTTGAGTTAAAGTGTTACAAAGTTACCTGAAAGATCCCTGTCAGTAAGGGAGCATATTGTGTGTGATACACCAAGCAATGGTTCATTAATTATACATTATTAGATACCTTGTTCTACCCTTTTATTTATGAATTATTTCAATAAATCCTCTTTTATTCAAATATACCAACTCTGAAAGAAATACTTTCTCAGGACCACATAGTTCCTCGTAAGCCTTGTACTCGGTATACCAAAATAGTAAGAACAACAGTAGAGTATAAAGGTTTGGAAAGCCTTAAATTTCCTGGTGGCAGCCGTATATACCTAGTAGAATGAATTAAAGAACACTTTTAAAGGGAAACCAGTCCTCCAGAATAAGGAGGACGTCACAGGCTATTTTAACATTTCAATTCAGGACTTCAGAAGAACCCCACGCACTACACAGCCTCAGCATCTAGTGAAAGATTTGCCGCTAACTGTAAACACCAGAGGAGCTGGAGGCAAGGAAAAAAGATCTTCCATTGTGATCTCTGTCTTGCCTGTCTCCTCAGCATCTGGGGATTCAGTCACCTCACCGCCTAACGCACATGGACGAAAATAATCCCAAATACCCCATAGCTAATGCTCCCTCTAAGCTGGGAAGGCTTGTGAGCAAAAATTCTACTTTGTGAGCTACTGGCATTGTGAGCAAGTAATTTGGCTACTGCATCAATTAGTTTGCTCTGCAGCCATCCTTCCTGAGCCGAGACAAAAATGTGTGAGCCAGGGGCTAAAAAACTGTGAGCTATCTCACACTAACTCAGTTTAGAGGGAACACTGGCTACTAGGCATCTTCTCCCATCCCAAACTGGAGGGGGGGGGAAACTCACACACAACCATACACATTTCTGAAGTTAGTTCGCTTTTATTGGCACTTTAGACATTGCATTGGTCCCACGAGGCTGTGCCATGAGAAAAACACAATCTTGTTCCTTGCTGCACAATGTCGACCTCCTGTGGTCAGTGGAAGTATTGCACCTGTCCTTGTTCTCGCAAAACGTCACTGTGAGCGAGGATAACGGCACAGCTGAGGGATTGTGA